ATAATAGAGAGTGGGCCCGATGGGGCTAGACTGCAGGTGCCCCAGGTAAAGGTATTCAAATCTAATTTTTAAAAAATTTACTTCTGCTACATGATTCTTAAACAGAGAGCCTACAATCAGAGAGGGAAGCAGAGCTAACCATGGATGTAGGACAGATGAAACACAGAGTCAAAATCAGAAAGGCTGTCAAGGCAGGGTGGTGACCTTGGCTGTCATTATTTGGAAGCACAGCGACCCCTTGGCTTGTACCTTCAAAGGCAATAGCAAAACTGGAGCTAGGAGAAATGGCTTATTAAGCTGTAAAATAAGGGATTCAGATGAGTCAAACTGGCCCTTGACAGAAGTAACTCCTGGGCTGGGTTACAGAAAGGATGCTGTGAGTTTCCTTGCATGGTTCTGAGTGGATGGAGCTTCCAAATACTTCCGGGGTGGAACAAATGACCTCCCAAGGTCCTGACTTCAGTACGTCTGTGTGGTCGGTCAGCTCTTGGTTATTCAGCCCAAAAGAAGACAGTGACAAATCATCCTAAGCTGAAGATAATAAAAAGTTATATTTGCCTTTGGAATGTATTTTGGCACTTAAATTAGAACGTGTCTTTCTGACGCTCTGAGAATTCACAATGCTTCACATCAGCCACAAAGAAAGCCTGACCCGGAGCTGGGAGGCTGCCCAATGTCGCCATCGTGTCCTCCCCGTAATTCCTGTGCTTTGCTGGGGGTGAGAAGTAAATATCACTTTTCAGAATAAGACCCAGCAGCGCAAGCTTTCACAGACAGGCACTGCCCGGCTCAGCCCTGCACTGGGAGAAGAGACAGGGCCCATCCAAATGGCTGACCAGGATCAGGATCTAGGAAGGGCTGGCTCTTGTTTCCAGGGGATGGGGTGAGTCCAAAGCCCTAGAGACCCGCAGTGAGCAGCAAGCCAGACCAGGCTGTGACATCCACCCCAGGCTGACGCCCAGTGGTGGTCTGGCTGCTCTACCGTTGAGGGCACTGTAGCAAACCTCCCGAGTTGCTCGGATGAGAAAGAAAAAGAGCTCATGGAAGAGGAGGATGAAATGAATGCCCAGCACTTGGAAAGAAAGAAGCTGCAGGCACAGGAGACGTGGGTGAAATTCCCCGCACACCCAAGGCGGGGTGGGGGTGGGGATGGAGACCTGTGTGCCAAGCCCACCTTCACATGCAGGCTCAGGATACAGACTTCGGCAAATGTGTCCACGAGGACATAAGCACTCGCTCTGCCCTGTGATGGAAAAGGAGACGCTGACAGTTCTACCAGTGCTCCTGCCCAACAGACCCAAGACCCGAGAACGTCTTGCTATTCTGAAAGATGGCTCCCAAGCAGGGCGGTCGGTGCAGCCCTGACCACTGCTTCAGCATGCCTTTGAGACAGATGCCAAGGAAACAGGGGAGAGATGGACAAAATCATACAAGGGAGCTGTAGGAGGCTCCTGGCGTGTTCCTGTGGGCAGTGAGGGGCTCTCTGCGCCCTTTACTTCTGTCTGCAACTTTGCAGGAGAAAACCACAAGTCTCCTGAAGTGGTGGGGCGAGGACCGACCAGAGGCAGCGGTGCAGGGCACTGGAACTCAGAGACAACTTTCCTGTGCAGACAGTGAGAGATTTCACACCTGGGGAGGCCTGGGAGCTCCTGCTGGGTGACAGGAGGGCGAAGCAGCACAAGGAGACTTTGTGTTCGCATCTCAGGTCTCATTTTTTCCCATATTAATTTGTGTAAATGCAAGATTATACCACAGTCTGAGACGAAAGGAGGACGTACTTGGAGACGCTGTTGCTGGGGCGGCAGGTGGAGGCGAAGGGGAGAGTGTTTGTTGCACTATTTTCTGCTTCCATCTCCAGGAGAGGCCAGGGTCACCCAGCAGGAGGCAAGGCCAGCCAGAACATCCCAGAAATGCATTCCAGTTCTCTAACCAGAGCCTCTGGCAGGCAGCACGTGGGTCTGGGGACAGGTGGGGAAACCCACTTGGCCTGACTCAGAACTCAACATGGGCCAGCTCTGTGGCCGCAACTCTGCCCAGGCCTCCATAAGAAAGAAGGGTCACTTCTACCACTTCTTTCTTTCTTTTTTGACAGGCAGAGTGGACAGTGAGAGAGAGAGAGACAGAGAGAAAGGTCTTCCTCTTCCATTGGTTCAACCCCCAATGGCTGCTGTGGCAGGCACACTGCGCTGATCCAAAGCCAAGAGCCAGGTGCTTCTCCTGGTCTCCCATGTGGGTGCAGGGCCCAAGCACTTGGGCCATCCTCCACTGCCTTCCCGGGCCACAGCAGAGAGCTGGACTGGAAAAGGAGCTACCGGCACAGAATCCGGCACAGAATCCAGCACCCCGACCGGGACTAGAACCCGGGGTGCTGGTGTCGCAGGTGGAGGATTAGTCTAGTGAGCCGCAGCGCTGGCCAACTTCTACCATTTTTACTTCTCCCTTTTCCATCCTCTGCTCTTTCGTTTCTCCTCCTAAAAGCTCAGAACTACACTGTCCAACTGAAATGTAGTTATTTAATTAAAAATTTTAAAAATTAATAATTCAGTTCCTTGATCTGTGAACCATACTCAAATAGCCACTTGTGTGGGTACCACACAAGGGGGCTTCAGAAAGCTTGCGGGAAGCATGCATTATCTTTAATTCCATTTTCCATGAACTTGTCATGGACAGCTCCAACAGAGACCATCCACATTATCACAGAAAGGTCTACTGGAACTACATCTTCTAGAAGGTCTAGAATCCAGTACCTCTCTCACCCCAGGGTAGAATAAATGAATCAATGAAAAGAAAAATGCACTTCTCCAAGTTTCCTCTCCATATGTCACCACCATTGACACTCACGACTGGCCTGTGGGGTGAGTGAGATGGATTATAAGATGTCCATGTGACAGAAAAGAAAAGTGGGTCTGTGGAGTTCAGGGAGTCTATAGGTTCACAACTACTGGGTTAAGTAGGACTAGAATTAAGACCAGGTCTTCCAATTCCAAGCTCAATGCTTTCTACCGTAACATACAATTTCTGCAAATCATGTTACAGGTACTTTGCTCAGTGCTACCATAAAAGCTTGGGCCTCCCAGAATGAGTTGGCTGGGCCCCCAGTGGTGCTGTTGCTGGCTGACTGGTTTTTCAAGCGATAACTAAACTTTGTGCAGTGTAGTCTGGCAGCCCTAGAGTTGGGATGCCTTGGGGCTCAAATCCTAATTCCCCCACTTAGTGCTTACTTGACAGAGAGCAAGCTGCCTGCTGCCTGGGAACCCCAATGTCCTTTTCTCTAAATGGACATGACAGTATGAGGGGACATTGAATAGTTCATAGGAATGGAGTTGCAAGGTAGGTTTATGGGCAGGCGTTTGGCCTCACAGTTGAGGCCACTTGGAATGCCTGCATCCCGCATCAGAGGGCTAGGGCTTCTGAGTCCAGCCTCCTGGTAATCCCAGTTGGCAGCAGGCGGCAGCCCCAGTGCTTGAGTCCCTGCCACTCGTGTGGAGACATGGATTGAGTTTCTGGCTCCCAGCTTTGTCCTGGCCCAGCTCTGGCTCTTGTGGGCATCTGGGGAGTGCAGTGGTAGATGGAAGGCATCTCTCTCTCTCTCTCTCTCCCTTTCAAAGAAAAAAAATTGAAAATAAAAAATAGGAAGAGCTTGAGAGTGACAGCCATGGTAGAAGGGGTGCTCAAAGCTGCCTTTACACAACACTTTATGGGAGACCAGAGGACAGGAGCTCTGTGTCTCTCTGTTTCTATGCTTCTCAAATAAATACACTTAATTTTTTTTTCAAAAGATAAGTTTATTTTGGTAAAAAAAATTGAAATCTGTGCATAAATTTTTCAAAATATGGATTTTCCATAAACCTTTTGATGACTCTTCCCATACACCCTGGTGTTGTCAGGAGGATGAAATAAGACAATGCATGGTGCCTGGCACATGTTAATGCTCAATAAATCATCATTATCACTGGTGATTGGCAGAATTTACAAGGCACTGTCATGTGTCATTGCTTACAGAGGCTTCAGAACAGGGCACTGCAGCTACCTCTCCTTGGATGACAGGGCAGGATCTCAGGGAGGGAGGGCAGGACTGGCTCAAGGTCACAACTGAAAGGTGCACATCTAGGGCAAGAACAGAAGTGCTCGAGTCCCAGGCCCCTCTTGCTTTGCACTGCTGCATTCAGGACAGAGGGAGCAGTGGGTGCCAAGGCATGACGAGGGGACGTGTACCCACCCCTCTTAATTTCCTTCTCCCTCCCTCTTGGAAGTGGGTAGTTAATGTTTTCCTTAGCTTACATAAAGTGCTGTGCAAAGGCAGCTTTGAGTATCTTCTACCATGCCTGTCACCCTTAAGTCTCTCCTATTTTTGGTTTTCAGTTTTTTCTTTTATCTGAAAGTCAGGGAGGGAGAGAGTGGGAGAGCGAGAGACAGAGAGAGAGAATTTCTTCCTTCTGCTAGGTCACTGCCCAAATAGCCACAACAGCTGGGAACTCAACCTGGGTCTCCCCATGGGTGGCAGGGGCCAAAGCACTTGAGCCATCACCTGCTGCCTCCCAGCAAGTTGGAACCAGGAGAAGAGTTGAGGCATGATCCCAGGCACTACAGCATGGGGCCAAGCAGCATCTTAACCACTGTGCCAGACGCCCACACTTTCTCCTCCTATCTGAAAATCCGTGAACCCCACTGGGAAGAAAGTAACATTCACATAACCATGGAAGCATAACCACGAGGAGAAGAGAGGGCCAGTTCTCCCCCTGGGAAGCCATTGGATCCAACCTACTTCTCCCAAACTGCCCACCCTCCACCCCTACCTCCTGCTACTGGGAAAAGCAAGGCCCTAGCCCCCCACAACCCCCGATGCACCCAGCTAGCTGCCACTGAGCTTAGGCTGACCACAGACTGGGGAACGGGCCGTATGCTGGTGCAAGTCACTGGGTTGGGCCTTATTCATCACACAGCCTCAGCACAGCACAGCTGACAAGCCCCTCTGTCGACCTCAGGGCGGAGGCACTCACCCTGCCACGACGATCTCAAAGTCCCCGTCGTGGTCCACGTCGGTGACTGCCACGCCGTAGTTGAGCTGGGTGGGGTTGCTGTCATAGTCGGGGGGCAGAACGGAGTTGGTGACTGCAGTGAACATGGGCTCAGCCCGCTGGGACCCCTTGGTGGGGGGCAGAAGCCACAGCAGCAGCAGGCCCAGTAACATCCGGAACATCTGAAACCCAAAGTTACAAGCATCACCGAGAGATCCTGCAGCCAAACCAGCCCAGGCACACCCACGAGGGCCACTTCTGTCCTGCTCCCAGTGGCCTTGGTAAGCCCCAGGCTGCGGCCTTACAAGGAGGCCTGCCCTGAGCGCCTTCTTGACAACCGCACCTGCCCCATCACCACGGGCACCCTGTGCTGCTCCACTTTCTCTCTTCCCGCAGTGCCCATCCCTGTGCAACGTGGTCCCATTGACTTATTCCTCCCACTTGTGATTTCACTGTCTGTCTCCCTCTGCAAGAGTGGAAGTCCTGCCTGGGCGAGGATCTTTGCTTCTGCTTCTTTCACCGACGCACACCAAGGCCAGGACAGGGTGTGCAGCAGGCCCTCACTGCATATTTGTAGAAGGAAGGGAGGAGACGGTATAAATGTGCAAGCATCTCCTGTACCGCGGGAGAAGGAGTGAGAAGATGCAGAAAATGACAGACCTCAACCAGCACCGAGGCAGGGCCAGGCCCCTGTGAGGATCCAGGTCTAGAACCAGGAGAGATGGCAGTGAGGCCTCGTCCTTCTGCAGGACGCGCCCAGAGGCAGCGTGGGGGGAATCCCTGACTTGGCTGGCTCCCCAAGACAATGTCCCTCCCCAGGGCAGCCTGCCACCACCTCCACACCATGAGGCAGCCAGTTAGGGGACTCATTCCAGCAGCTCTGGCGGGCAGCACATCATTCACTTGGAGAAATTAAACCATTGCGTGCGTGTTTTATTATAAATTAATTATGTATAATGCATTGTATAATTCATTATTATATCTCTAACATAACTCAGGGTGTTGCCAAGTAGCCTGGGGCCATGGGAGCTGATGGCACGAACCCAGGAGACGGATGAGAATGGCCAAGGAGGAGGAAGGACTCCACCCGCTGCGAGCAGGAGCAGGGCTACAGACGGCGCCACCCTGTGACTCTGCCCGCGGGCCACGACTCAGAGCTGAGTGTTCTAAGGATCTGCTGCAACGAGTGCCACGGAGGCTGCTCGGGTCTTGTCCCAGCAGGCAGAGCGGTACCTTCCTGCCTTCAGAAGGCAGCAACCCTCCTCCTGACGGCGCTTCTCCTGCTGGCTTTCAGTGCAGCTGGCGGCCAAGAGCAGGGCTGAGCGAGGCTGATGTCTTAATGAGGGGCCGAGCAAGGAAGATCTGAAGACTGTCTCCCCAGATGGAGACAGAACTCCTGCCAGCAAACGAGCGTGCTCCAGTTCAAGGACCCAGAGACCAAAACGCAGGGCTCAGGCATTGCCTTTGGAGCCAAACACGAGGCAGAAGCCTTGCGGGAGAGGCTGGCGAGAGCCGCAGGGGCAGGGCCCCAGTTACTGGGCAAGAATCTGCTGTAGATGAGCCTTCCTGGGAAAGAAAGAGGTGCTTGTAGAAGGTCCAGGCACACGGTGGGTGGTGCACGACCATCAGGAGGTCATTCCGACCTACAGAGACGGCGGAACATGGCAGCTTCTTCCACCGGGCTGTCTGACGGGTGGTAAATGGTAAATGCATCACTACTTGAGCTCTGTAACTTGTAGGAAGTTTGGTTGGATAAAGGCAACTCGTGATTGGATTAGTGATCAGGTAGGGGCTGGGGAACAGGGAGGGAAAGATTTAACAGCCAGTGTGGACATGCTGACCAGCACGGACCTTCAGGTCAGCGGACGTCTCAAGATCTGACCTCTACTGCAGGGATAGCAAATGAGCTGCAACTCGAGAGCCAAATCCAGGTGATTGGCAGGGGCTGCAAAGAGTACTGTGATCAGCTTACAACATCCGCCACCGGCCGGAATTGAGAAGTGGCCTCGGGCAAGCCTCCTAGAGCCTAGGCAGCTTGGCCCAGGCAGCACGCCTGCAATTTGGGTCACCGCCACCAGGGAAGCAGGTTCCTAGAAGGAACACAAGTAACTGGAAGAAATTTGCTAACGAAGGCCACTAGAAGCACTGATCTGATCGGGACGCAAGTCTCTTGGATTTTACCTTTTCTCCACCAGGTAAGACTGCTGACCAAAGGAGCCGCAGGAGAGAAGTAGCTCCCCTGTGTTGTCTATTTATGGATAAAGAGCCCAGAGAAAGAAGAAAGAGTGTACCTACGGGTCCCCTCGATTTTGCTTGGTGACCTTGAACAAGTCCCAGTCTTCTGGGGCCCTAGTTTTCTCCTGCAAAATGAAGGTTTGGGAGGAAACCTTGCATAGAACTTTCTGGCTGGAAAATTCTGTGATGGATGAAAGCTCTTTTTAAAAGAAGCAGCTCTTCCGCAGTTTCCCCTCCTGGCTTCTGTAAACTCCAGACCAAGCTGTGTGGTTTCCCTCGCTGAGCACGCTCAGCGTACTCTGAACACAACAGCCTCTCGGCAGGGCCAGCAGCAGTTTCCTCCCAGGGGCCAAGGTCAGAGAGGAGCAAGCCACCACAAGTGTGGATCTCGAATGCATCAGTGTGGGCACACCTGCAGATGGCCTGGCCGGGGACAGGGAGCTCTCCACATTCCATTCATGTGCCATACCCAAGGCACCTACACACCCACGAGACTGCTCAGTACCAGGGGGAAGTCATAGGTGAGTGCTGGGCTAGCCAGATGCTGGAGGGGGAAACAGTTATGGTGAGGAAGCTTAGGGGGTCCGCGGACAGCTACCAGCTCCTCTCAGGGCAGTCATTGGCATGCTCCTCCACACCCTGGCTCTGCCAAGCGGTCTGCAGACCATCAGCGTCGGCTTCATTTAGGAGTTTGTTAGACATGTGGAACTTGGGCCTCACCCAGCCCTAATAAATCAGAGTAAGCATCTTAACAAGATTTCAGGTAATTTGAATGTCCATTAGAATTTGGGAAACGCTGCTCAATCTCGGCAGTGGGTTGGAATCACCTAGGGAGCTTTGCAAAATTCTCATGCCCCACAATGGTTTCTTGGATAAGATACCAAAAACATAGATGACAACAACAAGATAACAGACTACATCAAAATAAAAATTATTGTTCACTAAAGATATCATCAAAAGGGTGAAAAGGCAACCCAAAGAATGGGAGAAAATATTTGCAAATTATACATCCGATAAGATACTAATATCCAGAATATATAAAGAAGTCCTACACCTCAACAGAAACAACAACAAAAACCAAGCTGGTTCAAAATGGGGAAAAGTATTGAATAATTATTTCCCTCAAAGATACACAATGGCCAACAAGACATGAAACTAATCATAAGGGAAATGCAAATCAAAGCCACAAAGAGATACCATTTTGTACCCATAAAAATGGCTATAATTTAATTTTTAAAAAAGAATAAGTGTTGGTGGAAAGTGGAGAAATCGGAACTTTTGTATTACTCACAGGAATGCAAAATGGTGCAGCTGCTGTGGAAAACTGGAGGGCAGTTACTGAAAAAAAGAATCCAAAATAGAATTACTATAGGATCCGGGAATTTTAGCTCTGCGTATGTGCCCAAAAGAAGTGGAAGAAGAGACCTGGACAGATATATGTACACCCATGTTTACAGAAGCATTATTCACAATAGCCAAAAGCTGGAAGCAACCCACGTGTCTATGGATGGCTTAGTGGATAAACATATAAATAGAATATTATTTGACATTAAAAAGAAAAATTTGACACATGCTACAATATGGATGAATCTTGAAGACGTTATGTTAAATGAGATAAGCTAGTCACAAAAGGATGAATATTATAAGAGGTACCCAGTGCAGTCAAATCTAGAGCGACAGACAGAATAATGGTTACCAGGGGCTGAGGGAGACAGGAATGGGGAGTCAGTGTTTAATGGACGTGGAGTTTTGATTTGGGATAATGAAAAAGGTTTGGATATGCATGGTGCTGATGGTTGCACAACAGTGTGCTCACTGCCATTGAATTGTACACGTAAATATCACTAAAATGATACATGATGGCTGGATCTCATCACAAGATATTCTCACTTAATTAGCACAGGATGTAGCCTGGACATGGGATTCTTTTAATTAAATAATTGTTTTTATTTTTGGAAAAAAAAAAAAACACAAAGAGAGCTCCCATCTGCTGGTCCACTCCCAAAGTGCCCAGGGCTGGGTCATGGCTGAAGCTGGAAACACAATTCCAGGTCTTCCATGGTGAGTGACAAGAACTCAACGACTTGAGCCATCACTGCTGCCTCCCATGGCCTGCATTTCTAAGAGTCAGGAGCCAGAGCTGGGAGTGAAACACAGGTACTCTGATGCGTGGGATGTGGCCATCTTAACCACCAGGCTAACCGCCTGCTCCTGGTGTGGTGTTTCGGAAAACTCCCATGTGATTCTAGTATACGGCAACATTTGAGAAACACTATTCTATCCCAGTGCTTCAGTACTTCACAAACTTTAATGTGTATATGAATCACCTGCTGGTCTTATTAAAATGCAGATTCTGGTTCAATAACTCTGCAGTGGAGCCCGGGATTCTGCCTTTCTAACAAGCTCCCATGTGGCATCGCGGATGCTGGTCCATAAACCACACACCGGAGAGCAGAGTTCCACACTACAGTTCTCAGAGTCACCAGGCTGGGCCGTATACCACAGTGAAGGGAGGAGAGCGGGGCGCGAACCCTCTCTGCCAGCTCTGGATCCAAGGAGCTAAAATCAATCCCAGGGCTGCCCAGGTCCGGTTTGTCTTTACACACTCCAAGCACTAGTTGTCTTCGGCTCAAGGTCAAATGATCACAATTGACAGAGAATGACAAAGATGGATTCTGACTCCAATTTTCTGAAGAGGTGAGAAGAAAGGAAGGAGTGGAACCGGAAAGGGTCAGGTCAAGGAGACCGGCACCTCCAAGGGCAGAGCCCAGACGGGCGTGGGCAGGGATCTGCAGGCTGGGGTGGAGAGGCATGCCAGGGTGTTCTCAGAAACCATCACAGGCAGTGCCCTATTAATATTTGCGAGATGAAGGAAGGAAGGAGTACGTCCCAATGATAGTGTGAATCAGCAGAAAGTGCTTGCAATTTGTCATACTTAACAGGTATT